GCAAGTTCCTGGACCAGGCAAGCTCATGGACCAGGCAAGCTCCTGGACCAGGCAAGCTCCTGGACCACGCAAGCTCCTGGACGAGGCATGCTCCTGGACTAGGCATGCTCATGGACCAGGAAAGCTCTTGGACCAGGCAAGCTCCTTGACCAGGCAAGCTCCTGGACCAGGTAAGCTCCTGGAGCACGCAAGCTCCTGGACCAAGCAAGCAGCGCGGTCCACGCAAGCTCCAGGAACAGGCAAGCTTTTGGACTAGGCAAGCTATTGGACCAGGCAAGCTCCTGGACCAGGCAAGCTACTCGACCGGCAAGCTCCTGGACCAGGCAAGCCCCTGGACCAGGCAAGCTCCTGGACCAGGCAAGCTCCTGGACCCAGCAAGCTCTTCGACCAGGCAAGCTCCTGGACTAGGGAAGCTCCTGGACTAGGCAAGCTCCTAGAGCAGGCACGCTCCTGGACCAAGTCCGCTCCTGGACCAGGCACGCTCTTGGACCACGCAAGCTCTTGGACCAAGCAAGCTCCCGGACCAGGCAAGCTCTTAGACCACGCAAGCTCCTGGACCAGGCAAGCTCCTAGACCAGGCACGCTCCTGGACCAGGCAAGCTCCTAAACCACGCAAGCTCCTGGACCAGGCACGCTCTTGGACCAGGCACGCTCTGGGACCAGGCCCGCTCTTGGACCAGGCAAGCTCTTGGAGCACGCAAGCTCCTGGACCAGGCAAGCTCCTGGTCCAGGCAAGCTTCTGGACCAGGCAAGCTCTTCGACCAGGCATGCTCCTGGACCATGCATGCTCCTGGACCACTAAAGCTCCTAGACCAGGCAAGCTCCTGGACAAGGGAAGCTCCTATACTAGGCAAGCTCCTGGACCAGGCAAGCTCCTTGACCGGCAAGCTCCTGGACCAGGCAAGCCCCTGGACCAGGCAAGCTCCTAGACATGGCAAGCTCCTAGACCAGGCAAGCTCCTAGACCAGGCAAGCTCCTAGACCAGGCAAGCTCCTGGACTAGGCAAGCTCCTGGTCGAGGCAAGCTCTTGGACTAGGCAAGCTCCTGGACAAGGGAAGCTCCTACACTAGGCAAGCTCCTAGACCAGGCAAGCTCCTGGACAACGCAAGCTCCTGGACCAGGCACACTCATTCACCAGGCACGCTCCTGGACCAGGCACGCTCCTAGACCAGGCAAGCTCCTGGAGCACGCAAGCTCCTGGACCAGGCAAGCTCCTGGACCAGGCATGCTCCTGGACCAGACATGCTCTTGGACCACTCATGCTCCTGGACCAAGCAATCTCTTGGAACAGGCAAGCTCTTAGACTTGGCAAGCTCCTTGACTAGCAAGCTCCTGGACCAGGCAAGCCCCTGGACCAGGCAATCTCCTGGACCAGGCAAGCTCCTGGACCAGGCAAGCTTCTGGACCAGGCAAGCTCCTGGACAAGGCAAGCTCCAAGACCAGGCAAGCTCTTGGATCAAGCAAGCTCCTGGACCATGCAAGGTCCTAGACCAGTCAAGCTCTAGGACCAGGCATGCTCCTAGACCAGGCCTGCTCCTGGACCACTCAAGCTCCCGGACCAGGCAGGCTCCTGGACCAGGCATGCTCTTGGACCAAGCAAGCTCCTGGACCAGGTAAGCTCTTGGACCAAGCAAGCTCCTAGACCAGGCAAGCTCATGGACCAAGCAAGCTCCTAGACCAGGTAAGCTCTTGGACCAGGCATGCTCAAGGATTAGGCAAGCTACTCGAGCGGGCACGATCCTGGACCAGGCAAGCTCCTGGACTAGGCAAGCTCCAGGACCAGGCAAGCTCCCAAACCAGGCAAGCCCTTGGACAAGGCAAGCTCTTCGACCAGGCAAGCTCCTAGACCAGGCAAGCCTTGGACCAGGCAAGCTCGTGGACCAGACAAGCTCCTGGACCATGCAATCTCTTTGACAAGGCAAGCTCCTCGACCAAGCAAGCTTCTTGACCGGCAAGCTCCTGGACCAGGAAAGCCCCTTGACCAGGCAAGCTCGTGGAAAGGGCAAGCTCGTGGACCAAGCAAGCTCCTAGACCAAGCAAGCTCCTGGACCAAGCAAGCTCCTGGACCAGGCAAGCTCCTGGTCCAGGCAAGCTCTTGGACCACGCAAGCTCGTGGACCAGGGAAGCTTGTGGACGAGGCAAGCTCCTGGACCAGGCAAGCTCCTAGACCAGGAAAGCTCCTGGACGAGGCAAGCTCTTAGATCAGGCAAGCTCCTAAACAAGGCAAGTTCCTAGACCAGGCAAGCTCCTGGATCAGGCAAGCTCCTGGACCATGCAAGGTCCTGGACCAGGCAAGCTCCAAGATCACGCATGCTCCTAGACCAGGCATGCTCCCGGACCACTCAATCTCCCGGACCAGGCAAGCTCCTCAACCAGGCATGCTCTTGTACCAGGCAAGCTCGTGGACCAAGCAAGCTCCTGGACCAGGCAAGCTGCTAGACGAGGCAAGCTCCTGGACTAGGCAAGCTCAAGGACTAGGAAAGCTCCTGTACCAAGCAAGCTCCTGGACCTGGAGAGCTCCTGGACCAGGCAAGCTCCTGGACCAGGCAAGCTCCAGGACAAGGCAAGCTCCTGGACCAGGCATTCTCCTAGACCAGGCAAGCTCGTGGACCAAGCAAGCTCCTGGTCCACGCAAGCTTCAGGTCCAGGCAAGCTCCTTGTCCATGCAAGCTCCTTGACGAGGCAATCTCTTGGAACAAGCACGCTCTTGGACTAGGCACGCTTCTGGACCAGGCAAGCTCCTTGACGAGACACGTTTCTGGACCAGGCACGCTCTTGGACCAGGAACGCTCCTGGACCAGGCAAGCTCAAGGACTAGGCAAGCTCTTGGACCAGGCAAGCTCTTGGACCAGGAAAGCTCCTGGACCAGGCAAGCTCCTGGACCAGGCAAGCTCCAGGACAAGGCAAGCTCCTTGACCTGGCATTGTCCTAGACTAGGCAAGCTCCTAAACCAAGCAAGCTCCTGGTCCACGCAAGCTTTAGGTCCAGGCAAGCTCCTTGTCCATGCAAGCTCCTTGACCAGGCAATCTCTTGGAACAGGCACGCTCCTGGACCAGGCACGCTTCTGGACCACGCAAGCTCCTAGACGAGACACGTTTCTGGATCAGGCACGCTCTTGAACCAGGCACGCTCCTGGACCAGGCAAGCTCCAAGACCAGGTAAGCTACTAGACTAGGCAAGCTCTTGGATCAGGCAAGCTCCTTGACCAGGCAAGCTCCTGCACCAGCCAAGCTGCTGAAGCAGGCAAGCTCCTGGACCACGCACGCTCTTGGACGAGGCAAGCTCTTGGACGAGGCAAGCTCCTGGATCAGGCAACCTCCTGGTCCAGGCAAGCTCCTGGACCAAGCAAGGTAATGAACCAAGCAAGGTAATGAACCAAGCAAGCTCCTGGATCAGGCAAGGTGCTAGAACAGGCAGGCTCCTGGACCAGGCACGCTTCCTGATCAGGCAAGCTCCTGGACCAAGCAAGCTCCTGGACCGGGCAAGCTCCTAGACCGGGCAAGCTCCTGGACCAGGCAAGCTCCTCGACCAGGCAAGCTCGTGGACCAGGCAAGCTCCTGGATGAGGCAAGCTCCTGGACCAGGCAAGCTCCTAGACGAGGCAAGCTCTTGGACCGGGCAAGCTCCTGGATCGGGTAACCTCCTGGACCGGGCAACCTCCTGGACAAGGCATGCTCCTCGACCAGGCAAGCTCTTGGACCAGGCAAGCTCCAAGACCAGGCAAGCTCTTTGACCAGGCACGATCCTGGACAAGGCAAGCTCCTGGATCAGACAAGCTCCTAGACCAGGCAAGCTCGTGGACCACGCAAGCTCCTGGACCAGGCAAGCTCCTAGACCAGGAACACTCCTGGACTAGGCATGCTCCTGGACTAGGCATGCTCCTGGACCACTCAAGCTTTTGGACAAAGCACGCTCGTGGACCAGGCACGATCTTGGACAAGGCAAGCTCCTGGACCAGGCAAGCTCCTCGAGCGGCAAGCTCCTGGACTAGGCAAGCCTCTGAACAAGGCAAGCTGCTAGACCAGGCAAGCTCCTAGACCAGGCAAGCTCCTGAGACAGGATACTACTGGACCAGGCAAGCGCCTGGACCAAGCAAGCTCCTGGTCCAGGCAAGCTCTTGGACCAGGCAAGCTCCTGGACTAGGCAAGCTCCTAGAACAGGAACGTTTCTGGACCAGGCACGCTCCTGGACCAGGCAAGCTCCTGGACTAGGCAATCTCTTGGACCACACAAGCTCCTGGACCAGGCAAGCTTCTGGACCAGGCAAGCTATTGGACCAGGTAAGCTCTAGGACCAGGCAAGCTCCTGGACCAGGCAAGCTCCTAGACCAGGTAAGCGCCTGGTCCAGGCAAGCTCTTAAACCAGGCAAGCTCTAGGACCAGGCAAGCTCCTGGAACAGGCACGTTCGTGGACCAGGCACGCTCCTAGACCCGGCAAGCTCCTAGACCAGGCAAGCTCCTGAACCAGGCACGCTCCTAGACTTGGCAAGCTCTTGGACCAGGCAAGTTCCTGCACTAGGCAAGCTCTTGGACCAGGCAAGCTCCTGGACCAGGCAAGCTCTTGGTCCAGGCAAGCTCCTTGTCCACGCAAGCTTCTAGACCAGGCAAGCTCCTGGAATAGGCACGCTCTTGGCGCAGGCACGCTCCTGGACAAGGCAAGCTCCTGGACCAGACACGTTCCTGGACCAGGCATGCTCTTGGACCAAGCACGCTCCTCGACCAGGCAAGCTCCTGGACCACGCAAGCTCCTGGGCAGGACAAGCTCATGGATAAGGCAAGCTCCTGGACCACGCAAGCTCCTGGACCAGGCAAGCTCCTAGACCAGGCAAGCTCCTCCACCTTGCAAGCAGCTGGACCAGGCAAGCTCCTGGACCTGGCACGCTCCTGGACCTGGCAAGCTCCTAGACAACGCAAGCTCCTGGACCAGGAAAGCTCCTGGTGCAGGCAAGCTCCTGGACCACCCAAGCTCCTTGACCAAGAAAGCTCCTGGACCAAGCAAGGTAATGAACCAGGCAAGCTGTTGGACCAGGCAAGCTGCTGGAACAGGCACGCTCGTGGACCAGGCACGCTCCTGGACCACGCAAGTTCGTGGACCAAGCAAGCTCCTCGACTGGGCAAGCTCCTGGACCGGGAAAGCTCCTTGACCACGCAAGCTCCTGGACCAGGCAAGCTCCTGGACCAGGCAAGCTCCTCCGTCCTTCCATCAGCCCGCCCCATTCTCCCTCCTTCCATCACCCCGCCCCATTCTCCTGCTTTCCATCACCCCGCCCCATTCTCTTGCTTTCCATCGCCGCGCCCCATTCTCCCGCTTTCCATCATGCCGCCCCATTCTCCCTCCTTCCATCATCCCGCCCCATTCTCCTGCTTTCCACCACCAGGCTTTATTCTCCCGATTTCCATCACCCTGTCCCATTCTCCCTCCTTCCATCACCCCGCCCCGTTCTCCCGCTTTCCATCGCCCCGCCCCATTCTCCCGCTTTCCGTCACCCTGCCCCATTCTTCCGCTTTCCATCACCCCGCTCCATTCTCCCTCGTTCCATCATCCCGCCCCATTCTCCCGCTTTTCATCACCCCACCCCATTCTCCCGCTTTCCATCACCTCGCCCCATTCTCCCGCTTTCCAACCCTGCCCCATTCTCCCTCCTTCCATCACCCCGCCCCATTCTCCCTCCTTCCATCACCCTGCCCCATTCTCCCTCCTTCGATCACCCTGCCCCATTCTCCCTCCTTCCATCACCCCTCCCCATTCTCCCGCTTTCCATGACCCCGCCCCATTCTCCCGCTTTCCATCACCCCGTCCGATTCTCCCGCTTTCCATTACCCTGCCCCATTCTCCCGCTTTCCATCACCCCGCCCCATTCTCCGCTTTCCATCACCCCCCCCCCATTCTCCCTCCTTCCATCACCCCGCCCTATTCTCCCGCTTTCCATCATCCCGCCCCATTCTCCCACTTTCCATCACCCCGTCCCATTCTCCCGCTTTCCATCACCCCGCCCCATTCTCCCACTTTCCATCACCCCGCCACATTCTCCCACTTTCCATCACCCCGCCCCATTCTCCCTCCTTCCATCTCCCCGCCCCATTCTAACTCTTTCCATCTCCCCGCCCCATTCTCCCTCCTTCCATCACCCCTCCCCATTCTACCGCTTTTCATCACCCCGCCCCATTCTCTCGCATTCCATCAGCCCGCCCCATTCTCCCGCTTTCCATCACCCCGCCCCATTCTCCCTCCTTCGATCACCCTGCCCCATTCTCCCTCCTTCCATCACCCCGCCCCATTCTCTCACTATCCGTCACCCCTCCCCATTCTCCTGCTTTCCATCACCCCGCCCCGTTCTCCCGCTTTCCATCACCCCGTCCCCTTCTCCCGCTTTCCATCACCCTGCCCCATTCTCCCGTTTTCCATCACCCCGCCCCATTCTCCGCTTTCCATCACCCCGCCCCATTCTCCCTCCTTCCATCACCCCGCCCTATTCTCCCGCTTTCCATCATCCCGCCCCATTCTCCCGCTTTCCATCACCCCGCCCCATTCTCCCGCTTTCCATCACCCGGCCCCATTCTCCCACTTTCCATCACCCCGCCCCATCCTCCCGCATTCTATCACCCCGCCCCATTCTCCCGCTTTCCATTACACCGCCCCATTCTTCCGCTTTCCATCGACCCCGCCCAATTCTCCCGCTTTCCATCACCCCGCCCCATTCTCCCGCTTTCCACCACCCCGCCCCATTCTCCCGCTTTCCGTCACCCCGCCCCATTGTCCCGCTTTCCATCACTCCGCCCCATTCTCCCTCCTTCCATCACCTTGCCCCATTCTACCGCTTTCCATCACCCTGCCCCATTCTCCCTCCTTCCATCACCCCGCCCCATTCTCCCTCCTTCCATCACCCTGCCCCATTCTCCCGCTTTCCATCACCCTGCCCCATTCTCTCTCCTTCTATCACCCCGCCCCATTCTCCCCCCTTCCATCACTGCTCCCCATTCTCCCGCTTTCCATCACCCCGCCCCATTCTCCCGCTTTCCATCACCCCGCCCCATTCTTCCGCTTTCCATCACCTTGCCCCATTCTCTCGCTTTCCATCACTTTGCCTCATTCTCCCCCCTTCCATCACCCTGCCCCATTCTCCCGCTTTCCATCACCTCGTCCCATTCTCCCGCTTTCCATCACCCTGCCCCTTTCTTCCGCTTTCCATCACCTCGCCCTATTCTCCCGATTTCCATCACCCCGCCCCATTCTCCCTCTTTCAATCACCCCGCCCCATTCTCCTGATTTCCATCACCCCGCCCCATTCTCCTGCTTTCCATCACCCCGCCCAATTTTCCCGCTTTCCATCACCCCGCCCCATTCTCCCGCTTTCCATCACCCCGCCCCATTCTCCCACTTTCCATCACCCCGCCCCATTCTCCCTCCTTCCATCACCCCGCCCCATTCTCCCGCTTTCCATCACCCCGCCCCATTCTCCGACTTTCCTTCACCCCGCCCCATTCTCCCGCTTTCCTTCACCCCGCCCAATTCTCTCACTTTCCATCACCCCGCATCATTCTCCCGCTTGCCGTCACCCCGCCCCATTTCTCCCGCTTTCCATCACCCCACCCCATTCTCCTGCTTTCCATCAACCGCCCCATTCTCCCGCTTTCCATAACCCCGCCCCATTCCCCCGCTTTCCATCACCCCGCCCCATTCTCCTTGTTTCCATCACCCCACCCCATTCTCCCGCTTTCCATCACCCCGCCCCATTCTCCCTCCATCCATCACCCCTCCCCATTCTCCCGCTTTCCATCACCCCACCCCATTCTCCCGCTTTCGATCACCCCGCCCCATTCTCCCTCCTTCCATCACCCCGCCCCATTCTCCCTCCTTCCATCACCCCTCCCCATTCTCTCGCTTTCCAACACCTCGCCCAATTCTCCCGCTTTCAATCACCCCGCCCAATTCTCCCTCTTTCCATCACCCCGCCCCATTCTTCCGCTTTCCATCACCTCGCCCCGTTCTCCCGATATTCCATCAGCCCGCCCCATTCGTCCGCTTTCCTTCAACCTGCCCCATTCTCCCGATTTACATCACCCTGCCCAATTCTCCCGCTTTCCATCACCCCGCCGATTCTCCCGATTTCCATCACCCCGCCCCATTCTCCCTCTTTCCATCACCTTGCCCCATTCTACCGCTTTCCATCACCCTGCCCCATTCTCCCTCCTTCCATCACCCCGCCCCATTCTCCCTCCTTCCATCACCCTGCCCCATTCTCCCGATTTCCATCACCCTGCCCCATTCTCTCTCCTTCTATCACCCCGCCCCATTCTCCCCCCTTCCATCACTGCTCCCCATTCTCCCGCTTTCCATCACCCCGCCCCATTCTCCCGCTTTCCATCACCCCGCCCCATTCTTCCGCTTTCCATCACCTTGCCCCATTCTCCAGCTTTCCATCACCCTGCCCCGTTCCCCAGCTCACCACACCGCCCCGTTCTCCCGCTTTCCATCACCCCGCCCCATTCTCCCTCCTTCCATCATCCCGCCCCATTCTCCCTCCTTCCATCACTCCGTCCCATTCTCCTGCTTTCCATCACCCCGCCCCATTCTCCCGCTTTCTATCACCCCGCCCCATTCTCCCGCTTTCCGTCACCCCGCCCCATTCTCCCTCCTTCCATCACCCCGCCCCATTCTCCCGCTTTCCATCACCCCGCCACATTCTCCCGCTTTCCACCACCCAACCCCATTCTCCCGCTTTCCATCACCCCGCCCCATTCTCCCACTTTCCATCACCCCGCCCCATTCTCCCTCCTTCCATCAGCCCGCCCCATTCTACTTCCTTCCATCAGCCCGCCCCGTTCTCCCTCCTTCCATCACCCCGCCCTATTCTCCCTCCTTCCATCACCCCGCCCCATTCTCCCGCTTTCCATCAACCCGCCCTATTCTCGAGCTTTCCATCACCCAGCCCCATTCCCCCGCTTTCCATCACCCCGCCCCATTCTCCCGCTTTTTATCACCGGCCCCATTCTCCCGCTTTTCATCACCCTGCCCTGTTCCCCCGCTCACCGACCGCCGCTTCTCCCGCTTTCCATCACCCGCCCCATTCTCCCGCTTTCCATCACCCTGCCCCGTTCCCTAGCTCACCACATCGCCCCGTTCTCCCTCCTTCCATCACCCCGCCCCATTCTCCCTCCTTCCATCATCCTACCCCATTCTCCCTCCTTCCATCACTCCTCTATTCTCCCGCTTTCCATCACCCCGCACCATTCTCCTGCTTTCCATCACCCCGCACCATTCTCCCGCTTTCCATCACTCCACCCCATTCTCCCGCTTTCCATCACCCCACCCCATTCTCCCGCTTTCCATCACCCCACCCGATTCTCCCTCTTTCCATCACCCTGCCCCGTTCTCCCGCTTTCCATCACCCTGCCCCATTCTCCCTCCTTCCATCACCCCGCCCTATTCTCCGTCCTTACATCACCCCGCCCCATTCTCCGCTTTCCATCACCCTGCCCCATTCTCCCGCTTTCCATCATCCCGCCCTATTCTCCCTCTTTCCAACACCTCGCCCCATTCCCCCGCTTTCCATCACCCCGCCCCATTCTCCCGCTTTTCATCACCCAGCCCCATTCTCCCGCATTCCATCACCCCGCCCAATTCTCCCGCTTTCCTTCACCCCGCAACAATCTTCCACTTTCCATCCCCCCGCCCCATTCTCCCGCTTTCCATCACCCCGCCCCATTCTCCCAATTTCCATCACCCCGCCCCATTCTCCCGCTTTCCATCACCCCGCCCCATTCTCCCGATTTCCATCACCACGCCCCATTCTCCCGATTTCCATCTCCCCGCTCCATTCTCCCGCTTTCCATCACCCGCCCCATTCTCCCGCTTTCCATCACCCCGTCCTATTCTCCCGCTTTCCATCGTCCCGTCCTATTCTCCCGCTTTTTATCACCCCGCCCCATTCTCCCGCTTTCCTTCACCCCGCCCCAATCTCCTGCTTTCCATCTCCCCGCCTCATTCTCCCGCTTTCCTTCACCCCGCCCCATTCTCCCGCTTTCCATCACCTCGCCCCATTCTCCCGCTTTCCATCACCCCGCCTCATTCTCCTGATTTCCATCACCCCGCCCCATTCTGCGCTTTCCATCACCCCGCCCCATTCTCCCGCTTTCCATCACCCCGCCCCATTCTCCCGATTTCCATCGCCCTTCCCCATTCTCCCGCTTTCCATCACCCCGCTCCATTCTCCGGCTTTCCATCACCCCGCCCCATTCTCCCGATTTCCATCACCACGCCCCATTCTCCCGATTTCCATCACCCCGCCCCATTCTCCCGCATTCCATCACCCCGCCATATTCTCTCGCTTTCCATCACCCCGCCCCATTCTTCCGCTTTCCATCACCCCGCCCCATTCTCCCGCTTTCCATCACTCCACCCCATTCTCCCGCTTTCCATCACCCCACCCCATTCTCCCGCTTTCCATCAACCCGCCCCATTCTCCCTCTTTCCATCACCCTGCCCCGTTCTCCCGCTTTCCATTACCTTGCCCCATTCTCCCTCCTTCCATCACCCCGCCCTATTCTCCCTCCTTAGATCACCCCGCCCCATTCTCCTGCTTTCTATCACTCCGCCCCGTTCTCCCGCTTTCCATCACCCGCCCCATTCTCCCGGTTTCCATCACCCTGCCCCGTTCCCCCGCTCACCACACCGCCCGGTTCTCCCGCTTTCCATCACCTCGCCCCATTCTCCCTCCTTCCATCGTCCCGCCCCATTCTCCCTCCTTCCATCACCCCGCCCCATTCTCCTGCTTTCCATCACCCCACTCCATTCTCCCGCTTTCCATCACCCTGCCCCATTCTCCCACTTTCCTTCACCCCGCCCCATTCTCCCAATTTCCATCACCCCGCCCCATTCTCCCGCTTTCCATCACCCCGCCCCATTCTCCCAATTTCCATCACCCCGCCCCATTCTCCCGCTTTCCATCACTCCGCCCCATTCTCCCGATATCTATCACCACGCCCCATTCTCCCGATTTCCATCTCCGCGCTCCATTCTCCCACATTCCATCACCCTGCCCCATTCTCCCGCTTTCCATCACCCCGTCCTATTCTCCCGCTTTCCATCACCCTGTCCTATTCTCCCGCTTTTTATCACCCCGCCCCATTCTCCCGCTTTCCATCACCCCGCCCCATTCTCCCGATTTCCATCACCCCGCCTCATTCTCCTAATTTCCATCACCCCGCCCCATTCTCCCGCTTTCCATCACACCGCCCCATTCTCCCGATTTCCATCACCCTTCCCCATTTCCCGCTTTCCATCACCCCGCTCCATTCTCCGGCTTTCCATCACCCCGGCCCATTCTCCCGATTTCCATCACCACGCCCCATTCTCTCGATTTCCATCACCCCGCCCCATTCTCCTGCTTTCCATCACCCCGCCACATTCTCCTGCTTTCTATCAACCCCGCCCCATTCTTCCGCTTTCCATCACCCCGCCCCATTCTCCCGCTTTCCATCTCTCCACCCCATTCTCCCGCTTTCCATCACCCCACCCCGTTCTCCCGCTTTCCATCACCCCGCCCCATTCTCCCTCTTTCCATCACCCTGCCCTGTTCTCCCGCTTTCCATTACCCTGCCCCATTCTCCCTCCTTTCATCACCCCGCCCTATTCTCCCTCCTTACATCACCCCGCCGCATTCTCCTGCTTTCTATCACTCTGCCCCATTCTCCCGCTTTCCATCACCCGCCCCATTCTCCCGCTTTCCATCACCCTGCCCCGTTCCCCCTCTCACAACACCGCCCCGTTCTCCCGCTTTCCATCACCTTGCCCCATTCTCCCTCCTTCCATGGTCCCGCCCCATTCTCCCTCCTTCCATCACGCTGCCCCTTTCTCCTGCTTTCCATCACCCCACCCCAGTCTCCCGTTTTCCATCACCCCACTCCATTCTCCCGCTTTCCATCACCCCGCCCAAATCTCCTGCTTTCCATCACCCCACCCCAGTCTCCCGTTTTCCATCACCCCACTCCATTCTCCCGCTTTCCATCACCCGCCCCATTCTTCCGCTTTCCATCATCCCGCCCCGTTCCCCCGCTTTCCATCATACTGCATCATTCTCCCGCTTTCCATCACCCCACCCCATTCTCCCTCCTTCCATCACCCCGCCCCGTTCTCTCTCCTTCCAACACCCCTCCCCATTCTCCCGCTTTCCATCACCCCGCCCCATTCTCCCGTTTTCCATCACCCCGCCCCATTCTCCCGCTTTCTATCACCCCGCCCCATTCTTCCGCTTTCCATCACCCCGCCCCATTCTCTCGCTTTTCATCACCTATCCCCATTCTCCCCCTTTCCATCACCCCGCCCCATTCTCCGCTTTCCATCACCCCGCCCCATTCTCCCGCTTTCCATCACCCCGCCCCATTCTTCCTCCTTCCATCACCCCGCCAAATTCTCCCTCCTTTTATCCCCCCGCCCTATTCTCCCGCTTTTCATCAACCAGCCCCATTCTCCCGCTTTCCATCACCCCGCCCCATTCTCCCGCTTTCCATCACCCCGCCCCATTCTCCCGCTTTCTATCACCCTGCCCCATTCTTCCGCTTTCCATCACCCCGCCCCATTCTCCCGCTTTCCATCAACCCGCCCCATTCTCCTTCTTTCCATCACCCTACCCCATTCTCCCTCCTTCGATCACCCCAGCCAATTTTCCCGCTTTCCATCACCCTGCCCCATTCTCCCGCTTTCCTTCACCCCGCCCCATTCTCCCGCTTTCCATCACCCCGCCCCATTCTCCCGCTTTCCATCACCTCGCCCGATTCTCCCGCTTTCCATCACCCCGCCCCATTCTCTCGTTTCCCATTATCCCGCCCCATTCTCCCTCTTTCCATCACCAAGCCCCATTCTCCCGCTTTCCATCACCCCGCCCCATTCTCCCTCTTTGCGTCACCCCTTCCATTCTCCTCGTTCCATCACCCCGCCCTATGCTCTCGCTTTATATCACCCTGTCCGATTCTCCCACTTTCCATCACCCCGCCCCATTATCCCACCTTACATCACCCCGCCCCATTCTCCCGCTTTCCATCACCCCGCCCCATTCTCCCTCCTTCCATCACCCCAGCACGTTCTCCCTACTCCCATCACCCCTCCCCATTCTCCCGCTTTCCATCAACCCGCCCCATTCTCCCGCTTTCCATCACCCAACCCTATTCTCCTGCTTTCCATCATCCCGCCCCATTCTCCCGCTTTCCATCAACCAGCCCCATTCTCCCGCTTTTCATCACCCAGCCCCATTCTTCCGCTTTCCATCACCCCGCCCCATTCTCCAGCTTTCCATCACCCCGCCCCATAGTCCTGATTTCCATCTCCCCACCCCATTCTCCCGCTTTCCATCACCCCGCCCCATTCTCCAGCTTTCCATCACCCCGCCCCATAGTCCTGATTTCCATCTCCCCACCCCATTCTCCCGCTTTCCATCACCCCGCCCCATTCTCCCGCTTTCCATCACCCCGCCCCATTCTCCTGATTTCCATCAACCAGCCCCATTCTCCCGCTTTTCATCACCCAGCCCCATTCTCCCGCTTTCCATCACCCCGCCCCATTCTCCCGCTTTCCATCACCCCGCCCCATTCTCCCGCTTTTCATCACCCTGCCCCATTCTCGCGCTTTCCATCACACTGCCCCATTCTCCCTCCTTCCATCACCCAGCCCCATTCTCCCTCCTTCCATCACCCCGACCAATTCTCCCACTTTCCGTCAACCCGCCCTATTCTCCTGCTTTCCATGACTTCGCCCTATGAACACTCTTTCACCAGGCACGCTCCTGGACAAGCAAGTTCACGAACCATGCATGTTTACAGACCACGCAAGCTCCTAGACCAGGCAGGCTCCTAGACTAGGCAAGCTCCTGGACGAGGCAAGCTCCTGGCCCAGGCGCACTCCTGAACTAGTCAAGCTCTTGGACCAAGCAAGCTCCCTGACCAGGCAAGCTCCTTCGCCAGGCAAGCTCCTAGACTAGGCAAGCTCCTAGACGTGGCACGCTCCTGGACCAGGCATGCTCCTCGACTAGGCAAGCTCCTAGACCAAGCAAGCTCTTGGACCAGGCAAGCTCATGAACCATGCATGCTCGTGGACCAAACACGCTCCTGCACCAGGCAAGCTCCTAGACCAGGCAAGCTCCTGGACTAGGCAAGCTTTTGGACCAGGTAAGCTCTTGGACCACGCAAGCTCTCGGACCAGGCAAGCTCTATGACCAGACAAGCTCCTGGACCAGGCAGGCTCCTAGACCAGGCACCCTCCTTGAACAGGCAAGCTCTTGGACCAGGCAAGATTCTAGACCAGGCAAGCTATTGGATCAGGCACGCTCTTGGGCCAGGCAAGCTCTTGCACCGGGCAAGGTCCTGAACAAGGCAAGCTTCTGGACCAGGCAAGCTCGGGGACCAGGCAAGCTCTTGAACAAGGCAAGCTCCTCGACCGGGCAAGCTCCTTCACCAGGCAAGATCCTGGACCAAGCAAGCTGCTATACCAGGCAAGCTCCCTGGACCAAGCAAGCTGCTTGACCAGGCAAGCTCCTGGACCAGGCAAGCTCCTGGACCAGGCAAGCTCATGGACCACGCAAGCTTGTAGACCAGGTACGCTTCTAGACCAGGGAAGCTGTTGGACAAGGAACTCTCCTTGATCAGGCAAGCTCTTGGACCAGGCAAGCTACTGGACCATGCAAACTCCTAGAACATGTCAAACTCCTGGACTAGGCACGCTCGTGGACCATGGACGCTCCTGGACCAGGCAAGCTCTAAGACCAGGCAGGCTCGTGGACCAGGAAAGCTCCTGGACCAGGCAAGCTCCTAGACCAGGCAAGCTCCTTGACCAGGCAAGATCCTGGACCAGACAAGCTCCTCGACCAGGCACGCTCGTGGACCATGCACGCTCCTGGACCAGGTAAGCTCTTGGACCAGGGAGGCTCGTGGACCAGGCAAGCTCCTGAACCAGGCAAGCTCCTGAACCAGGCAAGCTCCTGGACCAGGCAAGCTCCGGGACCAGGCTCGCTCGTGGACCACGCACGCTCCTGGACAAGGCACACTCTTGGAACAGGCAAGCTCATGGATCAGGCACGCTCCTGGACAAGGCAAGCTCCTCGACCAGGCAAGCTCTTAGACGAGGAAAGGTCCTGGACCAGGCAAGCTCCTGGACCAGGCAAGCTAACGGACCAAGAAAGCTCCTGGACAAGGCAAGCTCTTGGACCAGGCACGCTCCTAGAACAGGCAAGCTCCTGGACCACGCAAGCTCCTGGACCATGCAAGCTCCTGGACCAGGCAAGCTCCTAGACCAGGCGCGCTCCTGGACCATGCAAGCTCGTAGACCAAATAAGCTCGTGGACCAGGCAAGCTTCTGGACTAGGCAAACTCGTGGACCAGGCACGCTCCTGGACCATGCAAGCCACTGGACCACGCAAGCTCCTAGACCACGCAAGCTCTTGGACTAGGCAAGCTCCTTGACCAGGCAAGCTCCTGGACCAGGCAAGCTCCTGGACAAGGTAAGCTCCTGGACCAAGCAAGCTCTTGGACAAGGTAAGCACCCTGACCAGGCAAGCTCCTGGACCAAGCAAGCTCCTAGACCAGGCTCGCTCGTGGACCAGGCAAGCTTGCATGTTCCAGGAGCTTGCTTGGTCCAAGAGCTTGCCTGGTCCAGGAGCGTGCTTGGTCCAAGAGCTTGCGTGGTCCAGGAACTTGCCTAGTCCAAAGAGCTTGCCTGGTCCAGGAGCTTGCTTAGTCCAAGAGCTTGCCTGGTCCAAGAGTGTGCCTAGTCCACGAGCTTGCCTAGTCTAGGAGTGTGCCTGGTCTAGGAGCATGCCTGGTCCACGAGCAAGCCTAGTCCAGAAGCTTGCGTGGTCCAGGAGCGTGCCTAGTCCACGAGCTTGCCTTGTCCAGGAGCTTGCCTGGTCCAGGAGCTTGCCTGGTCGAGGAGCCTGTCTGGTCAAAGAGCTTGCCTGGTCCAGCAGCGTGCCTGGTCCACGAGCGTGCTTGGTCTAGGAACTTGCTTGGTAAAGGAGCTTGCCTGGTCTTGAAGCTTGCTTTGTCTAGGAGCGTGCCTCGTCCAGGAGTGTGCCTGGTCTGGAAGCTTGCTTGGTCCAGAAGCCTCCCCGGTCCAAGAGCTTGCCTAGTCCAGGAGCATGCCTAGTCCAAGAGCTTGCCTGGTCTAGGAGATTGCCTGGTCAAGGAGCTTGCCTTGTCCAGGAGCTTGCGTGGTCCACGAGCTTGCCTGGTCCAGGAGCTTGCCTGGTCCAGGAGCTTGCCTGGTCCAGGAGCGATCCTGAACCAGGCAAACTCCTGAACCAGGCAAGCTCCTGGACCAGGCAAGCTCCTGGACCAGGCTCGCTCGTGGACCAGGCAAGCTCCTGGACGAGACAAGCTCCTGAACCAGGCACGCTCCTCGACCAGGCAAGCTCCTAGACAAGGCAATCTCTTGGACCAGGCAAGCTCATGGACCAGGCAAACTTGTGGACCAAGCATAATTCCGGACTAGGCAAGCTCTTGGACCAGACAAGCTCCTAGACCAGGCACGCTCCAGGACCAGGCAAGCTCCTGGACCACGCAAGCGCTTGGACTAGGAAAGCTCTTGGACCAGGTAAGCTCCTGGACCAGGAAAGCTCCTGGACTAGACAAGCTCCTAGACTAGGCAAGCTCTTGGACAAGGCAAGCTCCTAGAACAGGCAAGTCTGGACCAGGCACGCTCCTGGACCAGGCAAGCTCCTAGACCAGGCAAGCTCTTGGACTACGCACGCTCTTGAACTAGGCAAGCTCTTAGACCAGGCAAGCTTCTGGACGAAAGCAAGCTCTTGGACCAGGCACACTTCTGGACAAGGCACACACCTGGAAAAGGCAAGCTCCTGGACCAGGAAAGCTCCTGGACCAGCAATCTCCTGGACCAAGCAAGCTCCTGGACCAGGCAAGCTCCTAGACAAGGCAAGCTTTTGGACCACGCACGCTCGTGGACCACGCACGCTCCTGGACTAGGCAAGCTCTTTGACCAGGCAGGCTCGTGGACCAGGCAAGCTCCTAAACCAGGCAAGCTCCTGTACCAGGCAAGCTCCTGGACCAGGCAAGCTCTTGGACCAGGCATGCTCATGGACCAAGCACGCTCCTGGACCAGGCACGCTCATGGACCAAGCACGCTCCTGGACCATGCAAGCTCGTGGACAAGGCACGCTCCTTGACCAGGCAAGCTCCTGGACCAGGCAAGCTCCTGGACCACGCAAGCTCTTGGACCAGGCAAGCTCCTGGACCAGGCAAGCTCCTGGACCAGGCAAGCTCGTGGACCAGGAAAGCTCGTAGACCAGGCGAGCTCCAAGACCAGGCAAGCTCTAGGACTAAGCAAGCTCCTGGACCAGGCAAGCTCTTGGACCAGTCAAGCTCGTGGACCCGGCCTGCTCCTGGACCAAGCAAGCTCCAGGACCAGGCAAGCACCTGGACCACGCAAGCTCTTGGACCAGGCACGCTCCTAGACCAGGCAAGCTCTTGGACCAGGCAGGCTTCTGGACCAAGCAAGCTCTTCGACTAGGCAAGCTCCTGGACCAGGCATGCTCCTGGACCACGCAAGCTCCTGGACCAGGCAAGCTCCTGGACCAGGCAAGCTCCTGGACTAGGCAAGATCCTGGACCAGGCAAGCTCTTTGATAAGGCACGCTCCTGGACCAGGCAAGCTCTTGGACCAGGAAGGCTTCTGGACCAAGCAAGCTCCTGGACCAGGCACACTCGTGGACTAGGTACGCTCCTGGACAAGGCAAGCTCTTGGACCAGGCAAGCTCCTGGACCAGGCAAGCTCCAGGACCACGCAAGCTCTTGGACCAGGAAAGCTCTTGGACCAGGCAAGCTCCTTGACCAGGCGAGCTAACGGACCAAGAAAGCTCTAGATAAGGCAAGCTCCTAGACCAGGCAAGCTCTTGGACCAGGCAAGCTCCTGGACCAGGAACTCTCCTTGATCAGGCAAGCTCTTGGACCAGGCAAGCTACTGGACCATGCAAACTCCTAGAACATGTCAAACTCCTGGACTAGGCACACTCGTGGACCATGGACGCTCCTGGACCAGGCAAGCTCTAAGACCAGGCAGGCTCGTGGACCAGGTAAGCTCCTGGACCAGGCAAGCTCCTAGACCAGGCAAGCTCCTTGACCAGGAAAGCTCCTCGACCAGACAAGCTCCTCGACCATGCACCCTCGTGGACCATGCACGCTCCTGGACCAGGCAAGCTCTTGGACCAGGCAGGCTCGTGGACCAGGCAAGCTCCTGGACCAGGCAAGCTCCTGAACCAGGCAAGCTCCTGGACCAGGCAAGCTCCTGGACCAGGCTCGCTCGTGGACCAGGCACGCTCCTGGACAAGGCACACTCTTGGACCAGGCAAGCTCATGGATCAGGCACGCTCCTGGACCAGGCAAGCTCCTCGACCAGGCAAGCTCTTGGACGAGGAAAGGTCCTGGACCAGGCAAGCTCCTGGACCAGGCAAGCTAACGGACCAAGAAAGCTCCTGGACAAGTCCATGTCCACGTCCACGTCCACGTCCACGTCTACGTCCACGTCCACGTCCACGTCCACATCCACGTCCACGTCCACGTCCATGTCCACGTCCACGTCCACGTCCACGTCCATGTCCACGTCCAAGTCCTCCACATCCACGTCCACGTCCATGTCCACGTCCACGTCCACGTCCACGTCCACGTCCACGTCCATGTCCACGTCGACGTCCACGTCCACGTCCACGTCCAGTCCACGTTCAAGTCCTCCACGTCCACGTCCACGTCCATGTCCATGTCCACGTCCACGACCACGTCCACGTCCACGTCCACGTCCACGTCCATGTCCATGTCCACGTCCACGTCCACGTCCATGTCCACGTCCATGTCCATGTCCACGTCCACGTCCACGTCCACGTCCATGTCCACGTCCACGTCCACGTCCACGTCCACGTCCACGTCCACCTCGACGTCCACGTCCACGTCCACGACCACGTCCACGTCCACCTCGACGTCCACGACAATGTCCACGTCCACGTCCACGTCCACGACCACCTCGACGTCCACGACAATGTCCACGTCCACGTCCACGTCCATGACCATGTCCACGTCCACGTCCACGTCCACGTCCATGTCTATGTCCACGTCCACGACCACGTCCACGTCCACGTCCACCTCCACCTCCACGTCCACGTCCATGTTGACGTCCACGTCCACGTCCACGTCCCTGTTCACGTCCACGTCCACGTCCACGTCCCTGTTCACGTCCACGTCCCTGTTCACGTCCACGTCCACGTCCACGTCCACGTCCACGTCCATATCCACGTCCACGTCCACGTCCATGTCCATCTCCACGTCCACGTCCACGTCCAGGTCCACGTCCACGTCTACGTCCACGTCCATGACCACGTCCATGTCCACGTCCACGTCCACGTCCACATCCAAGTCCTCCACGTCCACGACCACGTCCATGTCCACGTCCACGTCCACGTCTTCCACGTCCACGTCTACGTCCACGTCCACCTCCATGTCCACGTCCACGTCCACGTCCACGACCATGTCCACGTCCACGTCCACGTCCACGTCCACATCCATGTCTACGTCCACATCCACATCTAGGACCATGTCCACGTCCACGTCCATGTCCACGTCCACGTCCACGTCCACGTTCACGACCATGTCCACGTCCATGTCCACGTCCACAACCATGTCCACGTCCACGTCCTCGTCCACGTCCACGTCCACGTCCATGTCCACGTCCACGTCCATGTCCACCTCCACCTCCACGTCCACGTCCACGACCACGTCCATGTCCACATCCATGACCACGTCCATGACCACGTCCACGTCCACGTCCACGTCCACGTCCAGGTCCACGTCCACGTCCACGTCCACGTCAACGTCCACGTCCACGTCCACGTCTATGTCCACGTCCACGTCCTTGTCCAGGTCCACGTCCACAACCATGTCCACGTCCACGTCCACGTCCACGTCTATCTCCACGACCACGTCCATGTCCACGTCCACGTCCACGTCCACGTCCATGTCCACGTCGACGTCGACGTCCACGTCCACTTCCACGTCCATGTCCACGTTCACGTCCACGTCCACGTCCACGTCCACGTCCACGTCCACGTCCACGTCCATGTCCACGTCCACGTCCACGTCCACTTCCACGTCCACGTCCATGTCCACGTCCACGTCTACGTCCACGTCCACGACAATGTCCACGTCCACGTCCACGTCCATGACCATGTCCACGTCCATGTCCACGTCCAAGTCCTCCACATCCACGTCCACGTCCATGTCTACGTCCACGTCCACGTCCACGTCCACGTCCACGTCCATGTCCACGTCGACGTCGACGTCGACGTCCACGTCCATGTCCAGTCCACGTTCAAGTCCTCCACGTCCACGTCCACGTCCACGTCCATGTCCACGTCCACGACAACATCCACGTCCATGTCCATGTCCACGTCCACGTCCACGTCTACGTCCACGTCCACGTCCACGTCCACGTCCATGTCCACGTCCACGTCCACGTCCATGTCCATGTCCACGTCCACGTCCACGTTCAAGTCCTCCACGTCCACGTCCACGTCCACGTCCTCGTCCAGTCCACGTCCACGTCCACGTCCATGTCCATGTCCACGTCCACGTCCACGTCCACAACCACGTCCATGTCCACGTCCACGTCCACGTCCACGTCTACGACCACGTCCACGACCACGTCCACGTCCACGTCCACGTCCACGTCCACGACCACGTCCACGTCCACGTCCACGTCCGCGTCCACGTCCGCGTCCGCGTCCACGTCCACGTCCACGTCCACTTCGACGTCCATGACCACGTCCAGTCCACGTCCACGTCCACGTCCTCGTCCACGTCAACGTCAGCGTCCACGTCCACGTCCATGTCCACGTCCACGTCCATGTCCACGTCCACGTCCTCGTCCACGTCCACGTCCATCTCCACGTCCATGTCCACGTCCACGTCCACGTCCACGTCCATGTCCATGTCCACGTCCACGTCCACGTCTACGTCCACGTCTATGTCCACGTCCATGTCCTCCACGTCCACGTCCACGTCCATGTCCACGTCCACGTCCACGTCCACGTCCACATCCACGTCCACGTCTATGTCCACGTCCACGTCCACGTCCACGTCCACGTCCATGTCCATGTCCACGTCCACGTCCACGTCCACGTCCATGTCCATGTCCACGTCCATGTCCACGTCCAAGTCCTCCACATCCACGTCCACGTCCATGTCTACGTCCACGTCCACGTCCACGTCCACGTCCATATCCACGTCGACGTCCACGTCCACGTCCATGTCCAGTCCACGTTCAAGTCCTCCACGTCCACGTCCACGTCCACGTCCATGTCCACGTCCACGACAACATCCACGTCCACGTCCATGTCCACGTCCATGTCCACGTCCACGTCCACGTCCACGACCACGTCCACGTCTACATCCACGTCCACGTCCACGTCCACGTCCATGTCCACGTCCACGTCCACATCCACGTCCATGTCCACGTCGACGTCCACGTCCATGTCCACGTCCACGTCCACGTCCACGTCCATGTCCACGTCGACGTCCACGTCCACGTCCACGTCCACGACCACGTCCACGTCCACGTCCACGTCCACGACAATGTCCACGTCCACGTCCACGTCCATGACCATGTCCACGTCCATGTCCACGTCCAAGTCCTCCACATCCACGTCCACGTCCATGTCTACGTCCACGTCCACGTCCACGTCCACGTCCATGTCCACGTCCACGTCCACGTCCACTTCCACGTCCACGTCCATGTCCACGTCCACGTCTACGTCCACGTCCACGACAATGTCCACGTCCACGTCCACGTCCATGACCATGTCCACGTCCATGTCCACGTCCAAGTCCTCCACATCCACGTCCACGTCCATGTCTACGTCCACGTCCACGTCCACGTCCACGTCCACGTCCACGTCCATGTCCACGTCGACGTCGACGTCGACGTCCACGTCCATGTCCAGTCCACGTTCAAGTCCTCCACGTCCACGTCCACGTCCATGTCCACGTCCACGACAACATCCACGTCCATGTCCATGTCCACGTCCACGTCCACGTCTACGTCCACGTCCACGTCCACGTCCACGTCCATGTCCACGTCCACGTCCACGTCCATGTCCATGTCCACGTCCACGTCCACGTTCAAGTCCTCCACGTCCACGTCCACGTCCACGTCCTCGTCCAGTCCACGTCCACGTCCACGTCCATGTCCATGTCCACGTCCACGTCCACGTCCACAACCACGTCCATGTCCACGTCCACGTCCACGTCCACGTCTACGACCACGACCACGTCCACGTCCACGTCCACGTCCACGTCCACGTCCACGACCACGTCCACGTCCACGTCCACGTCCGCGTCCACGTCCGCGTCCGCGTCCACGTCCACGTCCACGTCCACTTCGACGTCCATGACCACGTCCAGTCCACGTCCACGTCCACGTCCACGTCCACATCCACGTCAACGTCAGCGTCCACGTCCACGTCCATGTCCACGTCCACGTCCATGTCTACGTCCACGTCCACGTCCATGTCCATATCCACGTCCACGTCCATGTCTACGTCCACGTCCACGTCCACGTCCATATCCACGTCCACGTCCATGTCTACATCCACGTCCACGTCCACGTCCATATCCACGTCCACGTCCATGTCTACGTCCACGTCCACGTCCACGTCCATGTCCACGTCGACGTCCACGTCCACGTCCATGTCCAGTCCACGTTCAAATCCTCCACGTCCACGTCCACGTCCACGTCCATGTCCACGTCCACGACAACATCCACGTCCACGTCCATGTCCACGTCCATGTCCACGACCACGTCCACGTCCACGACCACGTCCACGTCTACATCCACGTCCATGTCCACGTCCACGTCCACATCCACGTCCATGTCCACGTCGACGTCCACGTCCACTTCCACGTCCACGTCCATGTCCACGTCCACGTCTACGTCCACGTCCACGACAATGTCCACGTCCACGTCCACGTCCATGACCATGTCCACGTCCATGTCCACGTCCAAGTCCTCCACATCCACGTCCACGTCCATGTCTACGTCCACGTCCACGTCCACGTCGACGTCCATGTCCACGTCGACGTCGACGTCGACGTCCACGTCCATGTCCAGTCCACGTTCAAGTCCTCCACGTCCACGTCCACGTCCACGTCCATGTCCACGTCCACGACAACATCCACGTCCACGTCCATGTCCACGTCCATGTCCACGTCCACGTCCACGTCCACGACCACGTCCACGTCCACGTCCACGTCCACGTCCACGTCCACGTCCACGTCCACGTCCACGTCCACCTCCACGTCCATGTCCACGTCCACGTCCACGTCCATGTCCACGTCCACGTCCACGTCCACGTCGACGTCGACGTCCACGTCCACGTCCACGTCCACGTCCACATCCACGTCCACGTCCATGACCATGTCCACGTCCACGTCCACGTCCAAGTCCTCCACATCCACGTCCATGTCCATGTCTACGTCCACGTCCACGTCCACGTCCACGTCCACGTCCACGTCCATGTCCACGTCGACGTCGACGTCCACGTCCACGTCCATGTCCAGTCCACGTTCAAGTCCTCCACGTCCACGTCCACGTCCACGTCCATGTCCACGTCCACGACAACATCCACGTCCACGTCCATGTCCACGTCCATGTCCACGTCCACGTCCACGTCCACGACCACGTCCACGTCCACATCCACGTCCACGTCCACGTCCACGTCCATGTCCACGTCCACGTCCACGACCAGGACCACGTCCACGTCCACATCCACGTCCACGTCCACGTCCACGTCCATGTCCACGTCCACGTCCACCTCCACGTCCATGTCCACGTCGACGTCCACGTCCATGTCCACGTCCACGTCCACGTCCACGTCCAGGTCCACGTCGACGTCCACGTCCACGTCCACGACCATGTCCACGTCCACGTCCACGTCCACGACAATGTCCACGTCCACGTCCACGTCCACGACCATGTCCACGTCGACGTCCACGACCACGTCCACGTCCACGTCCACGTCCACGTCCATGTCCATGTCCACGTCCACATCCACGTCCACGTCCACGTCCACGTCCACGTCCACCTCCACGTCCACGTCCATGTCGACGTCCACGTCCACGTCCATTTCCACGTCCACGTCCAGGTCCACGTCCATGTCCACGTCCATATCCACGTCCATGTCCACGTCCACGTCCATGTCCATCTCCACGTCCACGTCCACGTCCAGGTCCACGTCCACGTCTACGTCCACGTCCATGACCACGTCCATGTCCACGTCCACGTCCACGTCCACATCCAAGTCCTCCACGTCCACGACCACGTCCATGTCCACGTCCACGTCCACGTCTTCCACGTCAACGTCTACGTCCACGTCCACCTCCATGTCCACGTCCACGTCCACGTCCACGACCATGTCCACGTCCACGTCCACGTCCACGTCCACATCCATCTCTACGTCCACATCCACATCTAGGACCATGTCCACGTCCACGTCCATGTCCACGTCCACGTCCACGTCCACGTTCACGACCATGTCCACGTCCATGTCCACGTCCACGACCATGTCCACGTCCACGTCCTCGTCCACGTCCACGTCCACGTCCATGTCCACGTCCACGTCCATGTCCACCTCCACCTCCACGTCCACGTCCACGACCACGTCCATGTCCACATCCATGACCACGTCCATGACCACGTCCACGTCCACGTCCACGTCCACGTCCATGTCCACGTCCACGTCCACGTCCACGTCCACGTCCATGTCTACGACCACGACCACGACCACGTCCACTTCCACGTCCACATCCACGACCATGTCCACGTCCACGTCCACGTCCACGTCCACGTCCATGTCCACGTCCACGTCCACGTCCACGTCCACGTCCACGACCATGTCCACGTCTATGTCCACGTCCACGTCCTTGTCCAGGTCCACGTCCACAACCATGTCCACGTCCACGTCCACGTCCACGTCTATCTCCACGACCACGTCCATGTCCACGTCCACGTCCACGTCCACGTCCATGTCCACGTCGACGTCGACGTCCACGTCCACTTCCACGTCCATGTCCACGTTCACGTCCACGTCCACGTCCACGTCCACGTCCACGTCCATGTCCACGTCCACGTCCACGTCCACTTCCACGTCCACGTCCATGTCCACGTCCACGTCCACGTCCACGTCCACGACAATGTCCACGTCCACGTCCACGTCCATGACCATGTCCACGTCCATGTCCACGTCCAAGTCCTCCACATCCACGTCCACGTCCATGTCTACGTCCACGTCCACGTCCACCTCCACGTCCACGTCCATGTCCACGTCGACGTCGACGTCCACGTCCACGTCCATGTCCAGTCCACGTTCAAGTCCTCCACGTCCACGTCCACGTCCACGTCCATGTCCACGTCCACGACAACATCCACGTCCATGTCCATGTCCACGTCCACGTCCACATCCACGTCCATGTCCACATCCACGTCCACGTCTACGTCCACGTCCACGTCCACGTCCACGTCCATGTCCACGTCCACGTCCACGTCCATGTCCATGTCCACGTCCACGTCCACGTTCAAGTCCTCCACGTCCACGTCCACGTCCACGTCCACGTCCACGTCCACGTCCAGTCCACGTCCACGTCCACGTCCACAACCACGTCCATGTCCACGTCCACGTCCACGTCCACGTCCACGTCCACGTCTACGACCACGTCCACGACCACGTCCACGTCCACGTCCACGTCCACGTCCACGTCCACGTCCACGACCACGTCCACGTCCACGTCCACGTCCGCGTCCGCGTCCACGTCCGCGTCCACGTCCCCGTCCAGTCCACGTCCACGTCCACGTCCACGTCAACGTCAGCGTCCACGTCCACGTCCATGTCCACGTCCACGTCCATGTCCACGTCCACGTCCATGTCCACGTCCAAGTCCTCCACGTCCACGTCCATGTCCACGTCCACGTCCTCGTCCACGTCCACGTCCATCTCCACGTCCATGTCCACGTCCACGTCCACGTCCACGTCCATGTCCATGTCCACGTCCACGTCCACGTCTACGTCCACGTCTATGTCCACGTCCATGTCCTCCACGTCCACGTCCACGTCCATGTCCACGTCCACGTCCACGTCCACGTCCACGTCCACGTCTATGTCCACGTCCACGTCCACGTCCACGTCCATGTCCATGTCCACGTCCACGTCCACGTCCACGTCCATGTCCATGTCCACGTCCATGTCCACGTCCAAGTCCTCCACATCCACGTCCACGTCCATGTCTACGTCCACGTCCACGTCCACGTCCACGTCCATGTCCACGTCGACGTCCACGTCCACGTCCACGTCCATGTCCAGTCCACGTTCAAGTCCTCCACGTCCACGTCCACGTCCATGTCCACGTCCACGACAACATCCACGTCCACGTCCATGTCCACGTCCATGTCCACGTCCACGTCCACGACCACGTCCACGTCTACATCCACGTCCACGTCCACGTCCACGTCCATGTCCACGTCCACGTCCACATCCACGTCCATGTCCACGTCGACCATTTCCATGTCCACGTCCTCGTCCACATCCACGTCCATGTCCACGTCGACGTCCACGTCCACGTCCACGTCCACGTCCACGTCCACGTCGACGTCCACGTCCACGTCCACGTCCACGACCACGTCCACGACAATGTCCACGTCCACGTCCACGTCCATGACCATGTCCACGTCCATGTCCACGTCCAAGTCCTCCACATCCACGTCCACGTCCATGTCTACGTCCACGTCCACGTCCACGTCCATGTCCACGTCGACGTCCACGTCCACGTCCATGTCCAGTCCACGTTCAAGTCCTCCACGTCCACGTCCACGTCCACGTCCATGTCCACGTCCACGACAACATCCACGTCCACGTCCATGTCCACGTACATGTCCACGTCCACGTCCACGTCCACGACCACGTCCACGTCCACATCCACGTCCACGTCCACGTCCACGTCCATGTCCACGTCCACGTCCACCTCCACGTCCATGTCCACGTCGACGTCCACGTCCATGTCCACGTCCACGTCCACGTCCATGTCCACGTGGACGTCCACGTCCACGTCCACGTCCACGACCACGTCCACGTCCACGTCCACGTCCACGACAATGTCCACGTCCACGTCCACGTCCATGACCATGTCCACGTCCATGTCCACGTCCAAGTCCTCCACATCCACGTCCACGTCCATGTCTACGTCCACGTCCACGTCCACGTCCACGTCCATGTCCACGTCGACGTCGACGTCCACGTCCACGTCCATGTCCAGTCCACGTTCAAGTCCTCCACGTCCACGTCCACGTCCACGTCCATGTCCACGTCCACGACAACATCCACGTCCACGTCCATGTCCACGTCCATGTCCACGTCCACGTCCACGTCCACGACCACGTCCACGTCCACATCCACGTCCACATCCACGTCCACGTCCACGTCCACGTCCACGTCCACGTCCACGTCCACGTCCACGTCCACGTCCACGTCCACGTCCACGTCCACCTCCACGTCCCTGTCCACGTCGACGTCCACGTCCACCTCCACGTCCACGTCCACGTCCACGTCCAGGTCCACGTCGACGTCCACGTCCACGTCCACGACCATGTCCACGTCCACGTCCACGTCCACGTCCACGACCATGTCCACGTCCACGTCCACGTCCACGTCCACGACCATGTCCACGTCGACGTCCATGACCACGTCCACGTCCACGTCGACGTCCATGACCACGTCCACGTCCACGTCCATGTCCATGTCCATGTCCACGTCCACATCCACGTCCACGTCCACGTCCACGTCCACGTCCACGTCCACCTCCACGTCCACGTCCATGTCGACGTCCACGTCCACGTCCATTTCCACGTCCACGTCCATGTCCACGTCCATGTCCACGTCCATATCCACGTCCATCCACGTCCACGTCCATGTCCACGTCCACGTCCATGTCTACGTCCATATCCACGTCCACGTCCACTTCCATGTCCACGTCCACGTCCACGTCCACGTCCAGGTCCACGTCCACGTCTACGTCCACGTCCACGACCATGTCCATGTCCACGTCCACTTCCACGTCCACGTCCATGTCCATGTCCACGTCCACGTCCACGTCCACGTCGACGTCTACGTCCATGTCCACGTCCACGTCCACGTCCACGTCCACGTCCATGTCCACGTCCATGTCCACGTCCATATCCACGTCCACGTCCACGTCCACGTCCAGGTCCACGTCCACGTCCACGTCCAGGTCCACGTCCACGTCCACGTCCAGGTCCACGTCCACGTCTACGTCCACGTCCACGACCATGTCCATGTCCATGTCCACTTCCACGTCCACGTCCATGTCCACGTCCACGTCCACGTCCACGTCCACGTCCTCGTCCACGTCCACGTCCACGTCTACGTCCACGTCCACGACCACGTCCACGTCCACGTCCACGTCCACGTCCACGACCACGTCCAGGTCCACGTCCACGTCCGCGTCCACGTCCGCGTCCGCGTCCACGTCCAGTCCACGTACGTCCACGTCCACGTCCACGTCCACATCCACGTCCACGTCCTCGTCCACGTCCACGTCCACGTCCACGTCCACGTCCACGTCCACGTCCACGACCACGTCCACGACCACGTCCACGACCACGTCCACGTCCACGTCCACGTCCACGTCCACGTCCACGACCACGTCCGCGTCCACGTCCGCGTCCGCGTCAACGTCAGCGTCCCCGTCCACGTCCATGTCCACGTCCACGTCCACGTCCATGTCCACGTCCATGTCCACGTCCACGTCCACGTCCATCTCCACGTCTACGTCCACGTCTACGTCCACGTCCACGTCCACGTCCACGTCCACGTCCATGTCCACGTCCACGTCCACGTCCAGGTCCACGTCCACGTCCACGTCCACGTCCACGTCTACGTCCACGTCCACGTCCACGTCCATGTCCACGTCCACGTCCACGTCCATGTCCACGTCCACGTCCACGTCCACGTCCACGTCCACGTCCATGTCCACGTCGACGTCCACGTCCACGTCCACGTCCATGTCCAGTCCACGTTCAAGTCTTCCACGTCTACGTCCACGTCCACGTCCATGTCCACGTCCACGAAAACATCCACGTCCACGTCCATGTCCACGTCCATGTCCACCTCCACGTCCACGTCCACGACCACGTCCACGTCCACATCCACGTCCACGTCCACGTCCACGTCCATGTCCACGTCCACGTCCACATCCACGTTTATGTCCACGTCAACGTCCACGTCCATGTCCACGTCCACGTCCACGTCCATGTCCATGTCCACGTCGACGTCCACGTCCACGTCCACGACCACGTCCACGTCCACGTCCACGTCGACGTCCACGACAATGTCCACGTCCACGTCCAAGTCCACGACCATGTCCACGTCGACGTCCACGACCACGTCCACGTCCACGTCCACGTCCACGTCCATGTCCATGTCCACGTCCACATCCACGTCCACGTCCACGTCCACGTCCACCTCCACGTCCACGTCCATGTCGACGTCCACGTCCACGTCCACGTCCCTATCGACGTCCACGTCCATTTCCACGTCCACGTCCATGTCCACGTCCATGTCCACGTCCATATCCACGTCCACGTCCACGTCCATGTCCACGTCCACGTCCACGTCCAGGTCCACGTCCACGTCTACGTCCACGTCCACGACCATGTCCATGTCCACGTCCACGTCCATGTCCACATCCAAGTCTTCCACGTCCACGACCACGTCCATGTCCACGTCCACGTCAACGTCTACGTCTTCCACGTCCACGTCCACGTCCACCTCCATGTCCACGTCCATGTCCACGTCCACGTCCACGTCCACGACCATGTCCACGTCCACGTCCAGGTCCACGTCCACATCCATGACTATGTCCACATCCACGTCTAGGACCATGTCCACGTCCACGTCCATGTCCACGTCCACGTCCACGTCCACGTTCACGACCATGTCCACGTCCACGTCCACGTCCACGACCATGTCCACGTCCACGTCCTTGTCCACGTCCACGTCCACGTCCATGTCCACGTCCACGTCCACGTCCACCTCCACCTCCACGTCCACGTCCACGACCACGTCCATGACCACGTCCATGACCACGTCCACGTCCACGTCCACGTCCACGTCCATGTCCACGTCCACGTCCAAGTCCATGTCCACGTCCATGTCCACGTCCACGTCCACGTCCATGTCCACGACCACAACCACGACCACGTCCACTTCCACGTCCACGTCCACGACCATGTCCACGTCCACGTCTACGTCCACGTCCACGTCCACGTCCATGTCCACGTCCACGTCCACGTCCATGTCCACGTCCACGTCCACGTCCACGTCCACGTCCACGACCATGTCCATGTCCACGTCTACGTCCACGTCCACGTCCAGGTCCACATCCACGACCATGTCCATGACAACGTCCATGACCACGTCCATGACCACGTCCACGTCCACGTCCACGTCCACGTCCACGTCCATGTCCACGTCCACGTCCACGTCAACGTCCATGTCCACGACCACAACCACGACCACGTCCACTTCCACGTCCACGTCCACGACCATGTCCACGTCCACGTCCACGTCCACGACCACAACCACGACCACGTCCACGTCCACGTCCACGTCCACGTCCAAGTCCACGACCACGTCCATGTCCACGTCCACGTCCACGTCCACGTCCACGTCCACGTCCAAGTCCACGACCATGTCCATGTCCACGTCCACGTCCACGTCCACGTCCAGGTCCACATCCACGACCATGTCCACGTCCACGTCCACGTCCACGTCCATGTCCATGACCACGTCCATGTCCACGTCCACGTCCACGTCCACGTCCATGTCCACGTTGACGTCGACGTCCACGTCCACTTCCACGTCCATGTCCACGTCCACGTCCATGTCCACGTCCTCGTCCACGTCCACGTCCATGTCCACGTCCACGTCCACTTCCACGTCCACGTCCAGTCTACGTCCACGTCCACGTCCACGTCCACGTCCATGTGCACGTCCACGTCCACGTCCACGTCCATGTCCACGTCCACGTCCACGACCACGTTCACGTCCACGTCCATGTCCACATCCACGACAATGTCCACGTCCACATTCACGTCCACGTCCATGTCCACGTCCACGTCCACGTCCACGTCCACGTCCATGTCCACGACCATGTTCACGTCCACATCCACGTCCATGTCCACGTCCACTTCCACGTCCCTGTCCACGTCCACGTCCACGTCCACATCCATGTCCACGTCCACGTCCACGTCCAACTCCACGTCAACGTCCATGTCCACGTCCACGTCCACGTCCACGTCTATGTCCACGTCGACGTCCACGTCCATGTCCACGTCCACGTCCACGTCCATGTCCACGTCCACGTCCACGTCTACGTCCACGTCCACGTCCATGTCCACGTCCACGTCCACGTCCACGTCCATGTCCACGTCCACGTCCACGTCCATGTCCACGTCCACGTCCACGTCCACGTCTACGTCCACGTCCACGTCCACGTCTACGTCTTTCTATGTCCACGTCCACGTCCACGTCCACGTCCACGTCCATGTCCACGTCCACGTCCATGTCCACGTCCACGTCCACGTCCATGTCCACGTCCACGTCCACGTCCACGTCTACGTCCACGTCCACGTCCACGTCCACGTCTACGTCCACGTCCATGTCCACGTCCACATCCACGTCCACGTCCACGTCCATGTCCACGTCCAAGTCCACGTCCACGTCCACGTCCATGTCCATGTCCATGTCCACGTCCAAGTCCACGTCCACGTCCACGTCCATGTCCATGTCCACGTCCACGTCCACGTCCACGTCCACGTCCACGTCCACGTCCACCTCCACGTCCACGTCCACCTCCACGTCCACGTCCACGTCCACGTCCACGTCCACGTCCACGTCCCTGTCCACGTCCACGTCCACGTCCACGTCCATGTCCACGTCCATATCCACGTCCACGTCCACGTCCATCTCCACGTCCACGTCCACGTCCAGGTCCACGTCCACGTCTACGTCCACGTCCACGACCACGTCCATGTCCACGTCCACGTCCACGTCCACGTCCACGTCCAGGTCCACGTCCCCGTCCACGTCCATGTCCACGTCCACGTCCACGTCTTCCACGTCCATGTCCACGTCCACGTCCACCTCCATGTCCACGTCCACGTCCACGTCCACGACCATGTCCACGTCCACGTCCACGTCCACGTCCACATCCATGTCTACGTCCACATCCACGTCTAGGACCATGTCCACGTCCACGTCCATGTCCACGTCCACGTCCACGTCTACGTTCACGACCATGTCCACGTCCATGTCCACGTCCACGACAATGTCCACGTCCACGTCCACGTCCACGTCCATGTCCACGTCCACGTCCACGTCCACGTCCACGTCCACGTCCATGTCTACGACCACGACCACGACCACGTCCACTTCCACGTCCACGTCCACGACCATGTCCACGTCCACGTCCACGTCCACGTCTACGTCCACGTCCATGTCCACGTCCACGTCCACGTCCACGTCCACGACCATGTCCACGTCTATGTCCACGTCCACGCCCACGTCCAGGTCCACGTCCACGACCATGTCCACGTCCACGTCCACGTCCACGTCTATGTCCACGACCACGTCCATGTCCACGTCCACGTCCACGTCCATGTCCACGTCCACGTCCACGTCCACGTCCACTTCCATGTCCATGTCCACGTCCACGTCCACGTCCACGTCCACGTCCACGTCCATGTCCACGTCCACGTCCACGTCCACGTCCACGTCCACGTCCATGTCCACGTCCACGTCCACGTCCATGTCCACGTCCACGTCCACGTCCACGTCTACGTCCACGTCCACGTCCACGTCCACGTCCATGTCCACGTCCACGTCCATGTCCATGTCCACGTCCACGTCCACGTCCAGGTCCATGTCCACGTCCACGTTCAAGTCCTCCACATCCACGTCCACGTCCATGTCCACGTCCACGTCCTCGTCCAGTCCACGTCCACGTCCACGTCCACTTCCATGTCCTCGTCCACGTCCACGTCCACGTCCACAACCACGTCCATGTCCACGTCCACATCCACGTCCACGTCCACGTCCACGACCACGTCCACGACCACGTCCACGTCCACGTCCACGTCCACGACCACGTCCACGTCCACGTCCACGTCCGCGTCCACGTCCGCGTCCGCGTCCACGTCCGCGTCTACGTCCACGTCCACGTCTACGTCCACGTCGACGTCCATGACCACGTCCAGTCCACGTCCACGTCCACGTCCACGTCCACGTCCACGTCAACGTCAGTGTCCACGTCCACGTCCATGTCCACGTCCACGTCCATGTCCACGTCCAAGTCCTCCACGTCCACGTCCATGTCCACGTCCACGTCCTCGTCCACGTCCACGTCCATCTCCACGTCCATGTCCACGTCCACGTCCACGTCCACGTCCATGTCCATGTCCACGTCCACGTCCACGTCTACGTCCACGTCCATGTCCACGTCCATGTCCTCCACGTCCACGTCCATGTCCACGTCCACCTCCACGTCCATGTCGACGTCCACGTCCACGTCCATGTCCATGTCCACGTCCACGACCACGTCCACGTCCACGTCCACGTCGACGTCCACGACAATGTCCACGTCCACGTCCATGTCCACGACCATGTCCACGTCGACGTCCACGACCACGTCCACGTCCACGTCCACGTCCACGTCCATGTCCATGTCCACGTCCACATCCACGTCCACGTCCACGTCCACGTCCACCTCCACGTCCACGTCCATGTCCACGTCCACGTCCACGTCCATGTCCACGTCCACGTCCACGTCCACGACCACGTCCACGTCCACGTCCATGTCCACGTCCATGTCCACGTCCACGTCCACGTCTACGTCCACGTTCACGTCCACGTCCACGTCCATGTCGACGTCCACGTCCACGTCCCTGTCCACGTCCACGTCCATGTCCACGTCCACGTCCATGTCCACGTCCATGTCCACGTCCATATCCACGTCCATGTCCACGTCCATGTCCACGTCCACGTCCGTGTCCACGTCCTGCCACGTCCATGTCCACGTCCACATCCACGTCCATGTCCACGTCCACGTCCACGTCCACATCCACGTTCACGTCCATGTCCACGTCCACGTCCACGTCCATGTCCACGTCCACGTCCACGTCCACGTCCACGTCCATGTCCACGTCCACGTCCACGTCCACGTTCACGTCCATGTCCACGTCCACGTCCACGTCCACGTCCACGTCCTCGTCCACATCCACGTCCACGTCCATGTCCACGTCCACGTCCATGTCCACGTCCACGTCCACGTCCACGTCCACGTCCACGTCCATGTCCACGTCCACGTCTACGTCCACGTCCATCTCCGCGTCCACGTCCACGTCCTCGTCCACGTCCAGGTCCACGTCGTCCACGTCCACGTCCACGTCCAAATCCACGCCCACGACAATGTCCACGTCCACGTCCACGTCCATGTCTACGTCCACGTCCACCTCCACGTCCACGTCCACGACCATGTCCACGTCCACGTCCACGTCCACGTCCACGTCCACGACCACGTCCACGTCCACGTCCACCTCAACGTCCACGTCTACGACCACGTCCACGTCCATGTCCACGTCCACGTCCACGTCCACGTCCACGTCCACATCCACGTCCATGTCCACGTCCACGTCCATGTCCACGTCTTCGTCCACGTCCACGTCCACGTCCACGTCCATGTCCGCGTCCATGTCCACGTCCACGTCCACGTCCATGTCCACGTCCACGTCCACGTCCACGTCCATGTCCACGTCCACGTCCACGTCCATGTCCACGTCCACGTCCACGTCCACGTCCACGACCACGTCCACGTCCACGTCCACGTCCACGTCCATGTCCACGTCTATGTCCACGTCCACGTCCACGGCCACGTCCACGTTCACCTCCACGTCCACGTCCATGTCGAAATCCACCTCCACGTCCTTGTCCACGTCCACGTCCATGTCCACGTCCACGTCCATGTCCACGTCCACGTCCATGTCCACGTCCATGTCCACGTCCATATCCACGTCCACGTCCACGTCCACGTCCACGTCCATGTCAACGTCCACGTCCACGTCCACGTCCATGTCCACGTCCACGTCCACGTCAACGTCTACGTCCACGTCCACGTCCACGTCCACGTCCACGACCACGTCCACGTCCATGTCCACGTCCACGTCCATGTCCACGTCCACGTCCATGTCCACATCCACGTCCATGTCCACGTCGACGTCCATGTCCATGTCCACCTCCACGTCCATGTCCACGTCCACGTCCACGTCCACGTCCATGTCCACGTCGATGTCCACGTCCATGTCCACGTCCATGTCCACGTCCACGTCCACGTCCACGACCACGTCCACGTTCACGTCCATGTCCACGTCCATGTCCATGTCCACGTCCACATCTACGTCCACGTTCACGTCCACGTCCACGTCCATGTCGATGTCCACGTCCACGTCCCTGTCCACGTCCACGTCCATGTCCACGTCCACGTCCATGTCCACGTCCATGTCCACGTCCATGTCCACATCCACGTCCGTGTCCACGTCCTGCCACGTCCACGTCCACGTCCACATCCACGTCCATGTCCACGTCCACGTCCACGTCCACATCCACGTTCACGTCCATGTCCACGTCCACGTCCATGTCCACGTCCACGTCCACGTCCACGTCCACGTCCATGTCCACGTCCACGTCCACGTCCACGTCCATGTCCACGTCCACGTCCACGTCCACGTCCACATTCACGTCCAGGTCCACGTCCACGTCCACGTCCATGTCCACGTCCTCGTCCACATCCACGTCCACGTCCATGTCCACGTCCACGTCCACGTCCACGTCCATGTCCACGTCCACGTCCACGTCCATGTCCACGTCCACGTCCACGTCCACGCCCACGTCCATCTCCACGACCACGTCCACGTCCTCGTCCACGTCCACGTCCACGTCCACGTCCACGTCCAGGTCCACGTCGTCCACGTCCACGTCCACGTCCAAATCCACGTCCACGACAATGTCCACGTCCACGTCCACCTCCACGTCCACGTCCACGACCATGTCCACGTCCACGTCCACGTCCACGTCCACGACCACGTCCACGTCCACGTCCACGTCTACGACCACGTCCACGTCCATGTCCACGTCCACGTCCATGTCCACGTCCACGTCCACGTCCACGTCCACATCCACGTCCATGTCCACGTCCACGTCCACATCCACGTCCTGTCCACGTCCATGTCCACGTCTTCGTCCCGTCCGTCCACGTCATGTCCATGTCCGCGTCCATGTCCACGTCCATGTCCGCGTCCATGTCCACGTCCACGTCCACGTCCATGTCCACGTCCACGTCCACGTCCATGTCCACGTCCAACGTCCACAGTCCACGTCCACGACCACGTCCTCGTCCAAGTTCACGTCCACGTCAATGTCCACGTCTATGTCCACGTCCACGTCCACGGCCACGTCCACGTTCACCCACACGTCCACGTCCATGTCGACATCCACCTCCACGTCCTTGTCCACGTCCACGTCCATGTCCCGTCCACGCCATGTCCACGTCCACGTCCATGTCCACGTCACATGTCCACGTCCATATCCACGTCCACGTCCACGTCCACGTCCATGTCAACGTCCACGT